CACTGATATTAAATTAGCATCTTCCACTTGTCATTATCTTAGAGGAACTGGGAAGCTGCCTCTGGCCCTTACATACAAATCACTTCCTTCTCTCCAAGCTCAGCACACATTCCAGCAAGGGGCGCATCTTATCCAGGGGCTACCTAGCAGAGCTGTTTTTTATTTTTATTTATTTATTTATTTTTTTGAGAATTTTTAGTATTTATTTTTTAGTTTTCGGGGACACAACATCTTTGTTTGTATGTGGTGCTGAGGATCGAACCGGGGCTGCACACACGCCAGGCGAGCGCGCTACCGCTTGAGCCACATCCCCAGCCCCGCTGTTTTTTATTTTGTACTTGCCAGTTGAGAGCACTTTTTGGTACACTGTCCTGCTACATGCTAATTCACTTGTTATGGATGTCTGCATAAGTATGGGCAAAAAACCCTTTCATTTCTGAGGTGATTTTTTTCTTTTGCACTGAGCTCTACTGAGTTCCTGTTTGCCTGATATTCATTAAATATCCATCTATTGACTGCTACCATGTTTTCTACCTTACAGTAGATCCTGAGGATTAAGAAATTAGATGCCCACATAGTCTAGTAGGGAATGAGACATATTCATTTATTCATTATTGTTTATTTACTATATTTTTATTGATATGATCCACAGAAAATATGTCCCTTTCAGTGGGGGTTTTTTAAGTTAGAAACTCGTGCAAACATCACTAATTCCAGAACATTTTTACCACCCAAAAAGAAAATCCATATCCATTAGCAGTCATACTCTGTTCCCTCCTGCCCCCACTCCTGGCAACCCCTACCTACTTTGTTTCTGTACATTGACCTATTCTATGCATTTCATGTAAATAGAATCATATATGTTGTCTTTTTTGCTTGGCTTCTTTTACTTAGGGTAATGTTTTCAAGTTTCATCTGTAATGTATCATTGTGTATCCATACAGCATCCCTTTTTCTAGCTAAATAATATTCCACAGTGTTGATATGCCATATTTTATCTATGACGAACTTTTTGGATTGTTTCTCCTTTTTTGTCTAGGACAGTTATGTGCAGCATGCGTAGGCACATTTGAATATAAGATGTTGTGTGAATGTATGTTTTTAGTTTTCTTGGGTATATACCAAGAAGCAGAATAGCTATTATGATAAATCTGTTTAACTTTTTTGTAAACTGCCAAATATGCAATGGCTGCACCATTGTATAATCCCACCAGGAATAAATTTGTTTCAGTTTCTCCACATTCTCACCAAAATTCTTTTAAGTCTTTTTTTACTATAGTCATTCTAGTGAGTTTGAAGCAGTATCTCACTGAGATCTTAATTATTTGCATTTCCCTAATAGTTAACAGTGTTAAGCTATGAACTTGATGAGCAATTGTGTATCTTTGGAGAAAGGTCTATTCAAATCCTTTGTTTTTCAACTGTATTGTATTGATTTTTGAATTGTAAGAGTTCTTTATATTATGGCTGCTAGACTTTTATCAGATATATGATTTGTAAGTGTATTCTCCCATTCTGTAGGTTATCTTTTCATTTAAAAAATATTTATTTTTTGGCAATCCTGAAGATCAAATCAAGGGCCTTCTTCATGCTAGGCAAGTGCTTTCCTTTGGAGCGACACTCCAGCCCCTTCATTTTCTTGATCATGACTTTTGATATACAAAAGTTTTAAATTTTGATCAAATTCAATTTATCTATTTCCTTTGATTGTGCTTTTGATATCCTGTTTTTTTAAAGAGAGAGTGAATGAGAGAGAGAGAGAGAATTTTAATATTTATTTTTTAGTTATCAGCGGACACAACATCTTTGTTTGTGTGTGGTGCTGAGGATCGAACCTGGGCCACACGCATGCCAGGCGAGCGCGCTACCGTGTGGGCTACATCCCCAGCCCCTGCTTTTGATATCCTAAGAAATCATTGCCCAGTTAAGATCACAAAGATTTACATCTGTTTTATTCCAAGAGCTTTATATTTTTAACTGAAAAATTCAAGTCTTTGATCTATTGATGTTGGGAGCCACAACCAAGTCAAGGTGGCGCCTGGCATTTTGCCAGAAGGAGTGGTTGAGAGGCAATGCCAGCGAGCCATTAGGATGATGATGGTTAAGTTAAGCTGTGTATGGTTATTGGGATAATGACTGATTGCTGTAACTGGATGATGCTAAATTGAAGCAAGCTGTGTGTTCAGTTGTGTATATGAACCCCTGCTGTCCGGCAATAAGGCGGCTCCTGCTACCTCCGCTGCCTGCTACTTTTGAGTTCCCCGTTGAGTTCTCTCGGAGTTTCGGTGGAGTTCCGGTTGTGTTCCCATGGGTTAGGACAATAAAGTAGTTCCTGTTTGAACCTACAAGTGGCTCGTGACCTCCCGGTTATTTCGTGCCCAGCCAGACTGCGGCATATTTTAAGTTAATTTTGTATATGGTATGAAGTAGGGGTCCAATTTCATTCTTTTGCTTGTGGCTCTTCACATGTTCCAGCACCCATTTGTTGAAAAGACTGTTCTTTTCCTTTGAATTGTCTGGGCACCTTTGTTAACAATCAGTTGGCTTTAAATGTATAGATTTCCAAGTTCAACAGTGAGGTGCTAAGAAACTCAGTGAGACCCTGTCCCTAAATAAAATACAAAAATGGGTTTGGGATGTGGCTCAGTGGACAAGTGCTCCTAAGTTCAATCCCCAATACCAAAAAAAGAAAATGTATAGATTTCATTCAGTCCATAGCTATTGGGAACTTGACTCAAGATTAGGCACTATACCAGACACTGGAGAATCAATATTAAATGAGGTTGGGTGTTCTTTTCCTTGATAAATGTACAGGCTAGTAATAGAAAAGACAAGACATTAAGTGAATTATGCAATTAATGAATTATTTTGTGATAATCATTAAAAAAGACTAGTTTTATCAGGGACCCTAACCTAGCTGAGGAGGAGAGAAAGACAAAGAAAAAGCATGCGCGCATGCATGCATATAGTGAATAATGTAGAAAGTGGTGAGGCCAGATGGGCAGCCATTGGTGCATGACATGTTAAGAACTTTGGACAGGGCTGGGGATGTGGCTCAAGCGGTAGCGCGCCCGCCTGGCATGCTTGCGGCCTGGGTTCGATCCTCAGCACCACATACAAAGATGTTGTGTCCACCAAAAACTAAAAAATAAACACTAAAAAAATTCTCTCTCTCTTTAAAAAAAAAAAAAAAGAAAAACTTTGGACATTGCCATAGGACAAAGGAAAGTTATTCAGGATATTTGGGGGGGGGGCGGGGCAGAGGAATGACATGATGAATTCATGTTTAAAATATCATTCTTGGGTTGGGGATGTAGCTTAGTGGTAGAATGCTTGCCTAGCATGTGCAAGGCCCTGGGTTTGATCCACAGCACTGCAAAAAAAGAAAGTCTAAGTGTTATATGGAGAATATATTTGTGGGGCAAGAACGAATGTGGAAAAATCTGCTAGGTGTCTGCTGTGACAGTTTAGATGTGAGCTGATGGCAGCCTGGGCTTGCTTGGTGGCATGTGGAGACAAGTAGATACAAGAACTTTTTTGGAAGGAAAAATAGGACTTGGGCACTGAGTACTTGTGAGGGGTGAAGGAGGTGTCAAGGATCACATTCCTGGAATGGTTGACATTTACTGAGATAGGAAAAACTAGAGTAGGTGCAGGTTTCCTGGGGTAGGAGTTGCTGATGACTATTAGTTCACTGTGAACATTTTGAACTTGTGATGTCTGTAAGATGACTGAGTGACGGTGAGTAGGTAGTTGGATATATAGGTCTGGTACCCAAGAGAGGTCTAAACTAAAGATACATCTTTGGTGATCTTTGACACCAAAAGATGTCATACATCTTTGACATACATGTAGAATTTGAAAACAGAAGCATGAATAAGGTTGTCAAGTGAGAGGGTGTAGACAATAATCATTCCCTGAGGCTTGTGACAGGAGCTAAAAAAAGAGGAAGAAAACCAGGAAGTTAGCATCATGGAAGCCAAAGGAAGTGGTCAGCTGTATTAAATGTTACTGAAAGTAAATGAAAGAATGTGCCAAATGTCAAAGAAATGTATTTTCCAGATTCAGGGGTGTCTATCACAGAGGAGGGGGATTACATTTCCTGGAGAATGGAGGTTATCAGGACAATCTTTTTTGAAAAGAAATTTTTAAGTTCATACAGTGTTGGTAATTTACAACTGAATCTGTTGGAAACTTCTCTCCTGCAGGCCGAGATGCATCCAGAGCATTTGTGACTGGAGACTACACTGAAGCAGGCCTTGTGGATGATGTAATTGATCTGTCCTTCTCTGAGATGCTGATACTTCAAAATTGGCTTTTATTCTATGAGAAGAATTATGTTTTTGTTGGTGGGTAGTCCACAGGTCATTTCCATAGATTTCACTTGGTTGTTCTGCAGAGTTTTTCAAAAGGCCAGATTTATTTATGAATTGGGCTAAAGGTTAAAATATGAAAAATTTTATATATATATATATTTTAATGTAGTTCAGTGTGGAGTTCTTGCTTAGCATGCATGAGACCATGTGTTTCATCCCCAGCATCCTCCCACCCCCAAATCTGAAAACCAGCTCTGGATTTTTCACTTTAAACTCTGGTTATTAGTGTGGCAGTGAGCCCCTGATGGAGATGGATGGGCATCTGTTTTTATCACAGTCATGGAAGAGGATTGCCAAACCATTTGCCTTGGCCTCAGCTGCCCAAAGCCGATGAGTGCCTGTCCCATTCTTGAACTAAGCCAGCTCCAGGAGGGCAGCTTCACTGTCTCACTCTTTTCCAGGCATCTAGCTTCAGCATACAGCCCGGAAGCTTGAAGTCTAAATTGGTGTGCAGTTTGATAGTACCTTTTTATTTTGCTCTCTAAGGAGACCCAAAATCTTGAGTGAACTGTCTCCAGGGTGGAATTTATGCTAATCAGACATTTTTTAGCTGGATGTGAGGCACACACCTGTAATCTCAGCAACTCAGGAGGCTAAGACAGGAGGATCACAGGTTCAAGGCCAGCTTCAGCAACTTAGTGAGACCCTGTCTCAAAAAAATAAAAAGGGCTGGGGATGTAGCTCAGCAGTAAAGAACCCCTGGTTTTTTCCACCAGTACCAATGATTGAATGAAAGAAGGAGTGAATATTTGTTAAACGCAATTGTGTAAGGTATGGCACCTGCTACTTACTGGTGATACATGAGGGAACTCATCTCAAATGAAAAGATAACTAACAGTGTCCTAAGACACTGCTAAGAATAGATTCCTTGAAAGGCACTGAGAGCTGGGAAGGCTAAGAAATTTGTATTTTAGGAAGCCATTCTAGGGTTTTAAATAGGCATAGAAATGACATGGTAAGATGCATGTTTATTTATCTATCTGTTTTGTCTATCAATCCATTCATCTTGGGTGTTGAACCCAGGGTATTCTATCATTGAACTAAATCCTCAGTCTATTTTATTTTTCATTTTGATACGCAGTCTCATTAAGTAGCCATCCCTGACCTTATGATCCTTCTGCCTTGGCCTCCCAAGTAGCTGGGATTGCAAGTGTGCTCTGCCATGCCAGGCTCAATTCATGTTTTGTCCAAATGCTTTGTGGATAAAGAACTGTAGGGGGGCCTGAGATGACACAGAGACTTCTTGGGAGGCTATTGTCACAGTCTGTGGTTTGGTTTAAGATGGTAGTGGTGGAAATGGAAAGAAATGGACAGAATTGAGATATGTTTTAGAAGTAGGATTGACAAGATTCACTAATGGATTAGACATAAATTAAGGGAAGTATATATTTGGATGTGAAAGAGGGGGAGTCAGAGAGATCCAAGGCTCCTCATCCAAATAACAGAGGCCAGAAGTGACATAAAAAGATTTGAGGAAGTCAGAGAGGGATTGGACTTGACATGAACGGAATCCTGAACATGTAGAATATACATGCCAGTGGAATCTGAGTCAGTTCTTGGTGACTGCAGAGGTAGGACACACACAGCTGGGGACAGGCAACACATAATACCACCTATGTAATCAAACCTTACAGAAGTGCTTTCTGTTGTTTCCCTTTCCCCGTGACAGAAGCTGGCTGTGATGGCCATTTTTACCTCAAGACTTGGACACATTAGGACCCTGCACCCAAGGAGAACTGATCTGTTTTGGTTCTGGCCTGTAGGCTGCAGACCACTTGCTAGCTGCTGCCATAGTTTGGACTTTAATTTTGAGAGGCATTTTAAATGAAAACCAGTTTCCAGTCATGTCCACTGAAAGCCTGAGCCATTGAAGGGGAGAAAGTGGGCATCAGGCCAGACTTCTTACTAGCTTCATAGCCTTCCCTAGTTGCTGGATCTCCTAATTTCTGTCTTATAGATATGAAAACAATTATTTCCCTCAGATAGGTTGCTATGGGGATTTTAAACTGTTGGTGAAGTGCTGATACAAAGTAAGTATATATAAGTATATATAAGTATATAGCATAGTGTCCGATACAAAGTAAATGCTCAGTAAATAACTTGTAAATAGTTTGATTTGAGCAGAATTGAGTTGCACAAATGTAAACCAATAAGCTATTCATTCAAACATTTGTTGAATACCTACTGTGTGCCCTAAGCTTTGTAAAGCATTAGTAAATGAATCACACAATGTTCTACCTTCAGGGAACCGATGTCTGGAGGCAAGAAAGATTCAGGAATTTCTGCACTGGAGGATAGTTCAGACAGAACAGGGATGCTTATATATGGAGTCTTGTAGGATGCTGACAGAGACTGAGAAGGCACCAAAAGTCCTTCCAGGGCTGTGGTGTAGCTCAGTGGTAGAGAGCTTGCCTAGCATGTGCAAAACATGGAGTTTGATCCCCAGCACTACATTCACACATATGCACATACATGCGTGCACTCGCACAAAGTGTCTCTAGTACAAGTTCTCAATAAGCAAGTACCCAACAGGCTATTGTAGTGCACTGAATTCCAAACCCCTGGGAACTTGAGCTTGATTCCAATGGCTCAGCATCTGTTCATGCTTCTCCCCAACTTTTACTCTGACTTCAGCTCTCCTGTTACCACAGGAAGGGTGATAGGAAGGTTCTATGGAGAAGATGGGCAGCCAACCCCAGAACTGATTCAGGTGGAAGCCATGATGGTCAAAGGCCTGGAGGCAAATAAATGGGAACAGAAAGAGAAGCAGAAGTTCCCACCCTGCAATGCTGAGTGGAGTGCCACCAAGGGTAGCCGGTTCTGGTGTTCCCAAAAGAGGTAAGCCAGCTTCTGCTCCCTTCCATCTCTTATCCAAATCAAACTTCTAGGCTGTCCTGCCTGCATTGTTCAGGGAATCCATGAATTAATTGTTAACCCAGGGAACTTTTTCAAAATACATGTGCTGTATAATAGTGACTCAACTTTGGTTGCATGTTAGATCTTCTGGGGAAATTTTAAAAAATGACTGATGGTGGGATCTTCTTCCAAATGATTGAGTAACACTAGGATTCAGACTTGGATCTGAGATTTGAGTATCTCCCACTGTCCCCTGCCCCAAGACCCTGGGGGTCTGGCAGTGAGGAGCAGGCATGAGTATTGTTTCTCAATTACTTTGACACATTCAGCCAACTATGATTTGGGTTTCTTGTCTGCCAGTGCACATTATTCCTGCCTGCTGGAGAAAAGGATGGGAAGATGGCCCATGCCATGATGCCCTTTAAAGGCACTGCACATTCTGAGTAATTCCAGGAGGTACAGGCTAGATGGAAAAGTCTTTCCCTGCAAGAACAAAGTGAGGTGAGCCTGATTAGAAATGATGCCACAGAGATTGTTCCGGGTTGGTTTGGGAAGCTGGAGAAACTGGTGTTTTTACTACTTTAATCATGAGGCCAGCCAGACTTGAGGTTCAACTCAAGACTCTCAAATTGCCTTTAGCTTTACTAAAGGGACAAAGGAAACCAGAAACTGGACAAACTTTCTAGCCTCAAAGACCTCAAAATGAGTCCAGTTCTCACTGAAAAGGGACAGGGACTGTTGGGGGGAGTTCACATCCCTAAGTGCTAAACTGTGTAGATTCACCCTCTTCTGCAGGGCAGGTGGCTCATTGTGTGGACAAGAGCAAGCAGTCAAAGCTATCAGTTTTCCCTAGACCCTGCTACTATATCATCACCCATTAGAGGAGCGGGGTAAAGGAAGGTGCAGGAAGGAAAGGCCTTTCTCTCCTGAACACCATTTTTGAAGATTCAGCTTCTCTAGTGTCATGGGTCATGTGAGAACCTGGCCTTTGCACTTTAGGGGGAGGAGCTGGGATCTGAGTGGGCTTTCCTGGGGCACAAGTTCAAATGCAGGTGGCCTGAGAACACTTGGCTGCCATAGGTCATCCCATGGGCCTATGGAGTACATTTAGATGCTTGCCTGTGCTCTGCTGGAAAGCCTGCCTCCCTTTCCCTCCTGTCTGTCTCCTGAACCCTGCCTTGCTTTCAGGACTGAGCTGCTCAAGTGAATGTGGGGGCCCTATCCCTGAGCCTCAGCCCAGTTTGTTGTTTTTGAGAGAAATGTGTGTCTCTGAGAGAAATGAGCTCTGAAGATAGGACTCAGATATGGAGTAAGGATCACCAGTGGAATGGATGGCTAGATGGGAAGGAGGTATTTGGGGCCCCAACAACCTTGTTCTTAGGTAAGCTACAAGTGGGATGGTTTCTAACTGGGTAGGAGTTTTTCTGACAGCAAGTAATCCTTGTCCCAGGCACTGGAACATATATGAGGTATCAATTCTAAGAATCTCATTTTCCTTTCGCAAGACCTCTGAGTCCACAAGACACAGAACTCGGTACCCTAACATGAGTTAGGTCTCTGTCTAGGACAGGAGGTTGCCAGACTATGTTGGGCCGAGCTGAATCCTCTTATCTCTGAAGCCTGGTGCCATCAAGAGCTAGGCCTATACAAGGACAGCTGGCAACAACTCTTGATGTGAGTGGCTCCCAGAGAAGGCTGACTTAGCTGGCCAAGACCTACCAAGTTGCCCAATTCCCACCAAGTTCCCAGGCCCTAAAGTTAAGATGTCCTGCACTGGGATAGAATGGGGACTAGAGAAGAGAAGCTTACATGCTCAAAGGTGGGATCCTTTCCCAGCTGTCAGCATCCTACAGGGAAGAGGTGCTGCCTTTTTCAAAGGCACTAAGCAACAGCCAAAGAGCAGTGAAAGGGACAATGGGCACTGTCTTTGACCCCGAGAAAGTGGTGTTGGTGCCATGCAGGGGAAGCTGGAGGAAGTCAGGAGAGCAAGAAGGCTTGGGCTGAATGTTGCAGAATGCAGCTTGGGATAGCACTAAGGTAGGAAGTGGAATGGCTTCTCTTTTTCATAAGTTCTCACTGGCTACTTCCTTTGCTCTTTGTCACAGAAAAACTCACCAAGGAGACCTCTTTTTTTCTGTCCATAGTGGAGGTGTGAGCAGAGACTGGATTGGCGTCCCCAGAAAACTATATAAGCCAGGAGCCAAGGAACCCCGCTGTGTTTGTGTGAGAACAACCGGCCCCCCTAGTGACCAGCTGCCTGACAACCCTACACACACAAATCGTGGGGACTTGGATGACCCCAACTTGGGGGAATACACAGGCTGCCCGCCTCTGGCCATCACATGCTCCTTCCCACTCTAAGCTGACACCCTGAATCTTGATAACACAGGGAACCCTGCCGAGAACTTATGCTCCTGTGTCCTAGGATGGCCCCTGGCATGAGACAGAAAGGTCTTGAAGGAATCTGACCACATCCTGCAAATGTGCCTCACCATGGGCTCCCCATTCTGGTGACAGGCAAGAGATTGGCAGCCAGCCTCATACTTGTCTGCCTGTTCTGACACTATTACCCCTAGGCCTATTTGTGACCTTCCTTCAGAGCCCTCAGAAATTAATGGGCACAGATATGACCAATTCAGAAATAATGGGATAAACAAGGGGAAAGCTCTGAGTTTTCTTTCCTGTGGACTCCCAAGCTGCCTAATCAGCTGCCAGCCTGGGCCCTGCCCATAACCCCAGCTCTGTCAGCATCTGAAGCAGTGGCAGAAAGGGGCAGTGTCTCAGCAGATACAACCCAAGAAACTGTGCACGTTAACAGCACCAGCGGAAGGAAGAACACTTGTGATCACTGACTTTCATGACTTTTCTTCTGACTTCCACCCCAAGGCAAACTTGAATTTACAACCCAAAGCCCGTTGGCTTGATTAGAGCTCCTGCAATAAGCATGGATAATAAAATGGGGTAGGCCAATTCTGGAATTGGAAAGTTTTTGCACATACATGGCTGCAGCAAATCCATGTGTCTCTGAACAAAATAACAATTTAAAGCAAGGATATTCTTTTAAACACTTAAAATCAGGTGTGGTGTGTTTATAATGGGAGAAGTCTGCATAGTGATTGAAAGGTAGTTTTGCTATAAAGTTAAGTGGTTAGCCTAACATCAGCATCTAGGCAAGACTGCAAATGTCATTGCAAAGAGCCCTGACTCAAAGTGGCTGGGCTTGCAACCTCTCCAGCAGTGTGTATGTCTAAGGTCATCTGTAATCACCTACACTTGACAAATTTCATACTCTGTTACCTTTTTTTTTTTTTTTTTTTTTTTTGATGCTGGGGATTGAATCCATGGCCTTGTGCATGAGAGGCAAGCACTTTACCAACTGAGTTATATCCCCAGCCCTCTCAGTTATTTCTTGAATTCTTATTAAATAGATGAGGGCAAGGAATGTTTCTGGTTCACAGATAAGGACATGAAGACTGATGCTGTTACAGGTTGTGGGCTTGCCTTATCTGAGCCTTCCCCTCAGCTCTCTCTCCATCCCCACCCCAGGCCTACCCCACCTAGACCTGTACCTCTTCCTGTCTCTTGCCCTTCCCTTTGAGTATGCATTAAAGAGGTCACTTCTATGACATCACAAATAAAACACTGTCCCTCAACCCCATGGTAGTGGGTAATTATCAAACCTACTTCCTCTTACAGCCAAGCATTTTGAAAGAATAGCTTATACTCAGGATATTTGTTTTTCAACCCTCATTTGCTATGTAGCAGTCACCTGCCTTCTCTACTCAGTAGCAAGATCAATTCTGTACTGGTAAACACCATAGTCACAGTCAATTCTTATCTACCTTGAGCTCTTGACCCTGTTGACCATAAGGTCCTCCATGGAACCCTTTTAGCTTTATCCTGGTTTCCTTTTCTCCCTCTGACTCTTCCTTCTCAGTCTCCTTGAACACCTGGCCTCCTCCATGAACCTCTTTCTACTGGCTCTCCTCCCTCCTATTTCAGCAGCCACTTTTACTGCCAGGCTGTACCTCCAGAATGAGCAGCTTTCCAGTCTTCCCCGTTTTTGATACTGTTTTCATCATTCCACCCACAGCCCTTGTTCTCCAGGAGAGCTGCACCTCCATCTCCACCTGACCCCAAGAAAAAGTCCTGGCAATTGGTCATAGCTCCTTCCTCCCTCCTTCCCACCACTCTCCAAATCCTGCAAGTCCTACTTCCTCAGTTCTCTTGCCATTCCTGTATCTATTCCTGAACTATTCTGGAACTACTGCAGGAGTCCACACTCCTTCCTCCACACTGCTGCAAGTCATCTTTCCTTGCGATGACAGGGCTCACCATACCCCATAGATGTAGAGGACTACATCTATGAGGACTAAGTGCCAGATCTCCAGAACCTGCAAAGGTGGCTTTTCTGTGGCCTATCTCCTTCTAGTCCCTGTATCTCCTGTATCCTCCCATGTACATCTGCTCTCCAGCCTTCCTCTCAAAGTATTATGCCTACAATGCCTTCACACATGTGGTTTCCTCTGCCTAGAACAATATCTTCTCTGCTTTTTTCTTCAAAATCCAGCCTCTCTAGGATGCCTTCATTAACCACTGGCCCAGAGGCTGGATTTAAATGCATTTGCCCTAAGTTCCCATAGCACTCTGTTCACTCCCATAAGAATATATCAGTGTGCTTTAGCCATGCATTTCCTATCAGCCTCTTTTCAGTGGGTCACACTCTTTGAGGACAGAAGCGCAGGTTCTTCAGCTTTGTACACACATATTCACAGTCCTCAACATGTGGCAAGGGCACAGGGTTAGATCTATTTTGGCAATGAAGCAACTAAGGCCCCCTAAAACTTAAGATGCCAGAGCAATGCAGCTGAGCCTGGAATTTGGTTTTTGACTCCTGATTCAGTGCTATTTCCATTCCGCCACTTTTTTGCATGTCTGCTCTCCTTGGGGCAGAAGCAGAAAGCAGGAGAGCTGAAATTAGGACCTTGTTCTGAGTTTCCCACAGCTCTGAGGTCAGTGCCTGAGGCTCCTTCAATTCCAGGTTAACTGGAAACTAATCACTCCTTTGGTCATTCAGCAAGTACCATTAAGACCTTACTAAGTTCTTACGAAAGCCGGGTGATGTGGTGCAGGCCCTGTAATCCCAGTGGCCTGGAGGCTGAGGCAGGGATTTCTCAAGCCAGCCTCAGCACCTCAGTGAGACCCCATCTCATTAAATAAATTACAAAATAGGGCTAGGGGTGTGGCTCAATGGTTGAGTGTGCCTTGCACCAGAAGAAAAAAGAAAAAAAAATCTTACTAAGGGAGAGGCATTGAATTGCGTGAGGATAGGGGAAAGTGAAGATCCTAGCCTCTGGGACTTACTGTATGGTGGAGGAGCCAGAGGCCATTCTTGGGCAGGAGTGCAGGGATAGTGTGAGGGACAAGCCCAGAGATGTGTAGACCCTTCAAAACAAACTGCAAAAGGAGCAAAACAGGTGTCTTTAGTGGACTTTGGCAGAGTCTAGAAGGTGCCTGGTCTCTGACTGAAGCAAAACTTCTGAACCCACGTTCCAGGACAAATTGGCCAGCCTTGGGCACCTGCTCAGTTCCTTGTTCAATGAGAGCTCATTTCTCCTTTGCTGCCAACCACTTACTTAGTGGTAAAGAACTTCCCTCATGTTAGAGCAAATAATTCATGATTCGAAGGGCTCTGTCATAAGCTGGTGATTAATGGAGAAATGCCTCTTCTCTTTCCAGTAAATGTAACCCTGGGCAAAACTGCAGAGAAGGGCAGTCCCTTCCTGATGGAAGCCACAGAAAGTCCAGCTTAGGCTGAGCACTCAGTTAGATTTGAGGGAAGTAGAAGAAAATGTATTGGGCAACTGTGCCAGGCTGTGCCCTGTGCAAGGAGCTTTGTTCTCATTTAATCTCCATGTCAGCCTTGAGAGGTTTCCATTTTATGGCCCAGAAAAGAGGGATAAAGTTCTCTCCATCTTTTACTAGAGGTAGAATTTCCTTAGCTACCATACCTGCTTCCTACCACACAGCCATTATATAGCTGTTATCAATGATTAAAGTAGCCATCAAGTTGACAGAACTGAGCTTTTTTTTTTCCCCCACACCAGTGAACAGTGTCAAAAGAAAAAGGCTGGGCAACTGCTGGCCAACATGTTGAAGGTAATCTCATCACCTGCCTTTCAATTCTGAGAATTCAGTTTGCTATGAACACAAAACTAAGAGGAGCCTGGATTTAAAAAAAAAATTTTTTTTTAGTTGTAGATGGACACAACAATACTTTTATTATTTATTTATTTATTTATATGGTGCTGAGGATCAAACCCAGTGCCCCACGCATGCAAGGCAAGCAAGCTACCATTGAACACAACGCCAGCCCTAAGTCTGGGTTTTTTAGTGACATCTCAGTCACTGTATAATGAAGCCTGTCAAAACCCCCATCTCATCTCTTGCTTTGCTCTAGGAAAAGCTGGTAACTAAAACCTCAATCCCACAGAAAGGTTGGGGCTGTGTCCCTCTGAGGGCAACCCTGAGCTGGACCCCTCTCCCTTGAGACTGTGCTGTTCTGCTAGAGGCCCCAGATTTGGTCAAGTGGGCAGCAGAGAGAGATTGCAGCCATCAACCTCCTCCAGAGGCCCTAGGGTGAGAACACGAGAACCTGTGTGCTTGGAAGAAAGGAAGGACATATTAATGACTACTGATCATTTTCCTCCGGGCAGACTTGTGAGCTAGGAAAGACTCTGGTCACCTCAATTATATAGACAGGGAAACTTAGGCACAGAAATTATGCAGCTTGCCCAATACTATCAGCGAATCAATGACAAAGCAGAAGTAAAGCCCAGTGCTCTTTCCTGGTTGGGCAAAAACATGAAAGTCAACATCCACCAGGCTGCTAATTGTGCTACACATCAGTGACAGGGTGATTATCTTCAAGGACAGCTACTAGAATTACTTGGGATTGTTGGGCATGGTGGCACATACCTGTAATCTCAGCAGCTCAAGAGGCTGAGGCAGGAGGATTGCAAGTTCAAAGCCAGCCTCAGCAACTTAGCAGTCATAAGCAACTTGCAAGACCCTGTCTCAAAAAACAAAAAGGGCTGGGGATGTAGCTCAGTGGTTAAGCACTCCTGGGTTCAATTCCTGGCACAAAAAAAATTATTACTTGGGATTAAGTGGAAGTTCTTAATAGTGCCTATTAACCATAAGAGAATACATTGGAGAATAAGGTGTATCAAAACTGGTTGGAACTGGGGGTTAAGCAAAATGAAAGGTAAAGAAAGGGAATACAATGTTAGTGCAATAAAGTGTTTTGAGGGCCAGGTGAGCTACTAGATTTGTACAGGGGTTTTATGAATCACTAAATCTTAATTTGTAAGCCCCTAAGCCTTCTATAGTTTGCTCTGAAGCTGGTGGTGCCAGACTTCCCTTCAAACCTTGAATGGATCTCCTTGAGTTGCTCCTAAATAATGGAACCAGAGGGGTTATTTTCAGGATCCTTTGAGGAATTTCCATGGGATCAGGAACTGGGATTATGCAACTTCAACCACACCCATTGCCATGCACTGAAAAGTCTGGACCCAGAGCACAGAAGTTCAGGCAGTTGCTTGCTTTCCCTGAAATAGCTACTTTCTGACTTGTTATCACCAGTATGTTTCTGGAAAAATGTTGGAATTCAAATGTTCCTAGAGGATAGCTGTTAAAAGAAATTTATTCACATGTCAAGAGGTTTTTGTTTGTTTTTAATGCTTATTGGTACTTCTGCATTAGAAGTAACTACAAATGTCTTATTAAAGTTTCCACTTGAAATGCACAATTTTACCTCATTTTATTATAAGGAATTGTTACAGAAAATCCAAATATCAGTATTTGAAAAATACATTCCATTACACAGACTCAAAAAAAAAAAAAAAGCCCATAAGCGCCATGGTCCTATATGATGCCATTATCCCACACTGAGCACCACCTCAAATGATGTGGAAGCCAAGGTGATCAACCCAAATGTGTACCTGCAGTTTCTGCCCAGCTACTGCCCTTGCCCTTGGTACCACAGGGTTGTCATGGAACAGCCAACTCCACACATCTACCAAAAAGGCAAGTCATTAGGTCAAGCAGTCTCAAGACTCCTTAGTTACAGAGAACCAATGTTGTCAGTTGTAACAGGTTAATATATTATTTACGCCACACAAAAGAGAAACTGTACAGATGATGATCTTCCAAAGAAAATGTTTAAGGCATCTACAACTTTTGGGGATTTAAGTGTTTTGTTTATATCTGGTCAGACACTCAGCTCTTCACGAAATCACTGCCACAGGGTGTGAGTGTGGCTTTCAGTGCCTGGGTAACCATTTTCTCTCTGCTGGCTCCTCTCTCCAGCTGGGAGGGGAAGCTCTGGTGCTTCACATGGTTATTCTGGAGCTTTTGTGAAGGAAGCGAGTGTTTCTATGATGGAAGTGTACATTTAATTGTGCATGCCACTGTCACCTGGATGTTTGCTTTGCCTCAGGTGTAAGCATTACATAATTCAGAAGTGTTCTTTTTCTCCGGATGAAGGAAACCTAGTGGAGCTCAGTGATCTTCCTGTTCCCAAGCCTTCCCTCCCCTCCATGCCTGTGGACAAGATTAACATAGGAACAGTTTATTACAATACATGAGACGTGAATAGGGAAGAATAGACCACATGCACACTGAGCTCCACACAGGGGCCCATTCGGGTATAGAGGGCGAAGCTGATCAGGGTGGTCAGAAATGACTGAAGGCTCTGAGGTAGAGGACTGAAGGTCATGTGGACCCCACTCCTTGGAGAGAATGTGGCAGGTGAATTGAGCAATCTAATCCAGCTTCAACTAAATTGGTAATTGGTGTTGACAGTGTACAGGCACAAAACTGCAAAAGGAACACGTGTTCTAATACATCATTCAGTGAGACACCACTGGAAAGATAACTGAAACTAGAGTCCTAAGTGTAGGCACTTAAGTTTGTGGGACATTTTTGTGTTAGAGGATCACGGCAAATTAGTTTAAGCCATTCAATTTATACATATCACATGGTTTGTACCTCTGTCTTAAGTCTGGCAACGATCAAGAGATAGTTACAGAGCTAATTTGGCATTAACAATGTTGAATGATGAAGCAAATTATATTTCAGCAAAGTTTATTCTTCCTGATCTATTCATTCACAATTGGCAACTTTCCAAATGAATAAAATTAAATTTTGCTACTAGTACTCAAGCTACTAATTAAAATTTAACAAGAACAGCTAGGCAGTTTTGTAGTCAAGTCTTGACAGCATGAAGAGCATAAGAGGGACACAGAGTGTGTCTGGTCCTGGCCAGGGCAGTGTATGTTGGGGTCCCACAGGGCAGATACCCTTCAAGGAGCCTGCTGAGTGCAGCCCAGTGAGCAGCAAGCAGTGTGTTAGATTTAGGGAGATTTCCTAAGACTTGGGAAAGAGGCCTATTCTATCACTACATGAATGCACCAGTGCAGAACTCAAAAAATGTTCCCCCGCATCCACGGTTGGTCAGTATCACTGCTGTCCCTGGACTCTGAATAAAAGCGTGAATCAACACATTTTAAACATGATCTTAAGATTTTAAGTGCAAGTATAGGCGAGACTGTTATTGAAACTGGCATGGGAGGGCAAGGGCAGAACAATCCCTGATTGAATTCCTGTCCTTTCCTTTCCACTGTGAACATTAAAAGAACAAGTATGTATGTACCGACCACCTCAATTCATATCTAAATCATAATTATTTTGCTTTCTAAATGTCAAGCTACCTAATGAAGCCCTATGTTCTTGTGGGCCTTTTTAGGCAACAGAAAATGGAAACTGACCACATGCTTAAACATGGTCATTTACCAAAACTTGGTCAAATATTTTATAAAAATTCTGTATGAAATATATCACAGACTGGGTGAAGGGAAATTTTTCTCATTTTTTTAAACATTGTGCACAAGCTCATATTAACATAAAAAGCATATATATCTTATAAATCACAGAAATATTTTTTAAAAGTAGCACTCTGGTTTATCAGCGCATTTTACACACATATTTAGGCAATAGAATGTTTAAATCTACAGCAACATAGAGGACATACCACTATCCAAAGGAGAAACAAACAAAACAGGGATGTTGCAAAATAATACTCAGTCCCTTTTACACATATATCCATACTTCATTAATGCAAAAAGAAAATGTAGTGGTTATTAAGTGTCTGAAAAAAATCAGTATTTTTGAGATTATTAATCTCTGAATATAACTATATAGCACATATTGTTCATCTCAGAATTGAATATTATTAAAAAGCAGTGGCAAAAGTTTCTTTTTCAATGTGCATTTTTTAAAAACTGGCCAAACCTTCAAAAGAAAAGGAGTTTAACACCTCAGAGTCAATAGATGTACGTACTAGCAGCAACTAAGGCCCAAATGAGTTCTGGAGGCCTCAATCAGCAATCAAGTCAGAGCCTTCCAAAATGGTTTGCACACACTTGGCCAGGGCCTTCAGCTATTGGCTTTTGGGGCAGGCAAGCTACACAGAACTGGGATCAACAGCACTAACAGCATAACCAGGAAAGGTTTCAGCAAGAAGCATTCATGTCAAGGAGATGGGATCTGCCAGCCTGAGGCTGGAGAAGGCCTTAGAGCTGCAGTCTTGTTGATCCCCCTCTCTGGGCACTTGGCCTATATGAATCTCTTGCTCTAAGAGACACTCAGCAGGAGTTTCCTCTAAGATTAGGGTGGGCTGAGGTCTAGCCACAACTGAACATTAGAATCACTGCTGTGAGGAGAATGTGTGAGTTTATTTTTGATTATGGATTTTTAAATAGGAATCACCAATGATGCAGCTATATAAAAAGTGCGGCACAATAAAAGTGCATTTCCTCCACCACTCACTTAGTGGCAGAGTGACTAAGGACTCCACAGACAGGACGCAGCAAGACGAGAGGATGAGACAGCTGCTAGGAGGTGTCAAGCCGCCACACTGTACTCCTGACACCTGGGCAGCATGAACACTAGTAAAGCTTTCAGTTGTTAAGGCCACGATTTTTCAGCTCTCATCTTTGAACCCTGTTTAGAAAGATTTCACCTTTTTAAAAGGGGCAGCTTGCTAAAAATACAGCTTAGCTTAAAAAAAGAAAAAGAAAAAAAGAAAAGACTTCAGGGTAAGAGGATCCTATTAACTTTATGAAAACACTGCAGAAAAGTCCAGAGCCACTTAACCTAGAGTGAAGCCAGCTCTCATGATACAGCCAGCTTCCCACTCTGTTAGGCTCTGCCTCGTAAGCCAGCCCAGGCAGGAAGACTTAGGAATGCTCTGAGATGGACACTAAACTACTGGAGGGAAAATGTTCTCAAAGTGTCCTTGAATGTTGCTAGCAGAATGGGGTCTAATTCCTATCATGTTTACCACTTAGGCTAAATGGCCTGGTCTGATTAGTGAGACATCTAGTGAACTCAATCACAGTCTGACATACTGACAATCATACAGAATTATTCGAAACGGGATCACGGTCCTTAATTGTTCCAGTATTGCCGCAGGAAGATGACTGCCAGCTCCTGCTCTAGGTGGGGGTCCGGTGGGGCAGGCTGGTGAGCAGAGCAGCTGCTGGGGAGGTGATGGGGATGTGGCCTGGGCGTCCTAGGAGCTAAGAGACTCCACCCAGTGTCAGTACATCAAAGCAAATGTTGCAGACTCGCACAGGCTTGTTCAGATCAAACTTTATAATAGGAATTTCCTTGGTAGAACATTTATGGCAAAGCAGACGTCCACAATGCCGACTGTGGAAGCAAAGAAAGGAAGTATGAGAGGGATCCTCACAAAGAGACTGCTGGGCACAGGAACAGACAAGGCTCTGTGGCCAATTCTGCCAATTACCAGCCAAGTTACTCCAATTCATGCATAAGTTTTAGTCCATAAAAACAAAATTCTAGACAATAATTAAGCTCAAGCAATACAGAAGGCTTCATTTAAAGATAATGAGCAGTTCAGCAAACAAAATGGCTCACTTTAATAGGGACAGCTCCTTAGTCCTCTCAGTACAGCAGCCAGCACTCAGGCACATTGTGAGGGCAATAACTCAGCTCTGCTACAAGCCCAGGGCAAATGACAGGCCTGGCAGACTATATGAGAGCTTTGTGCTGTAGCAGCCATCAGGAAAGACACCAGTTGGACTGCTCCCTGCCTTGCCTACATCTCTGAAGGACCCTGTTTGGTCCTGCCATTTCATCATTCCATTTGGTCACGTTTTGCCCAGGAGAGGATAAGATCCTGGAGAGTTCATAGCTTATCATAAAAAAGGCAGGTGACAGAGGACTTACCAGTGATGCTTGCGCGTTGTGACTCCAAACTTGGCAGTGCACTCGTAGCAGTTGGAGCCATCACACCATGGAGGTTCCTTGGAGAGCATGTCTGTAATACACACAAAAGACTAATTCCTGCAAGACGGTGACTGTGCTAGGCAGGACACAGGGTGGAGGGGGCAGGGAAACAAACCAGTAAATAGCACTGCAGCATGATGGGAGAGGAGAAGGAAAGGAATGATTTATTCTAACATGGCGAGGAAAAGCTCACAGAGAAGACTATGGATTATGAGGCCTCATCAGTCCAGGGGAGGAGGTAACACTGTTCAAGGAGGGGAAACAGCAGCACCTGGGCAGAGATACACATAAGTCAGGGCAGCTGGAGTATGAGGTACGGGAGGGAAAGCAAAGACCACACAGATGGAGAGGTTGGGGGTAGAGGGGTGATCAAGGGAACACAGCAGAGAGGACCAAGACAAAAGAAACTGAGGGGACAGAATCTGTGATTTGGGG